CCCCGGCTTATCCCCTAATATTCAACCCCCCCACCCCTTAAAAAGGGTATATGGGGTTATTATTAGGGCTTAGAGATTTTGGGGTTTAGGGGTGTTTAGTTCTTACGTCTCATGAATAGCATTCCAGAGCCTAGGAATAGTATATAGGGTTTAGGGTGTAGGGTATATATAGGTGTTATGTATTCTATAGGGGTTATATATATAAACATATATGGATTATATTAGAGTCTGTATAGGGATGCTAGAGGTTTAGGGTCTGTTTCTCCAGGATTTTACGAAATGGTTCAGGGTTTGGGGTGTGGGTTCCTGCAATGAACCACACCCGCCCCAAAAAAAAAAATCATTACTCATGTTGGTGCAGGGAGCGTAGGGTATACATGCACAGGTTCATCTCAGCTTCTGGAGAAATGATACCAAGGCACAAGAATGTAGATCGAGTTGTTCTAAACCCTAAACTCCAAACCCTAAATTTAAAAACCCTAAACCCCAAACCCTAAACCTGACCCCTATGTAACCCCTAATGATACAACCCTTATAAAACCCCAATAAAGACCCGAAAGAAGCCCTGGGGATGCAGGAAGCACATCCTGAGGGATTCTTACCACCAAACCTTTGAAGCCGAGGTATATGACCCCTATATAACCCCTATCTGGCGCCTATATAACCCCTATATAAGCCCTATACAACCCCTAAAGTCTAAATCCTGAGGGGCCTGTAGCCCGACTCTGGATGTGCATCACATAAATTGGGCTTGCACGCGCTAAGTGTGGAACCAGTATCGCAGTGAATGCTCAACTCTTAAAGTCTGTTGCTTTCGTAGTTTGACCGTCGACAGCGAGTACTTGCACAGATGGGCTGATGTTAAGGAACTTTCATGAAGTTTCCAGAACATGGATATGTGGTACATCAGGCGGGCTCCTCATCATGGCAATCTTAAACCAAGTACCTTAACAAAAGCAACGTATTTGTAATGCAAACCGGGAAGTGCCAAGCCAGGGTAGGTATTTCTGAGCCCTACGTGGGGAGATTCCCTAAATTCGGGCGCATTATGCCCCACCACAATCTATAAACCCCACCCAATACAAAGGCTCCCAATACAATATAATGCCTGTTGTAGGGACTCCCCTGGAAAAGGCCTCGAATTTTCGGAAACCATCAAGCCCTACACCTAAGCCCCAAACCTTCTCCCTCTGCTTCAGAACCTTAGGCATGGGACTGCTGGGTTGTGGGAACACCTTCTACATGGAAGGCGGGACAAAGAAAGGGTGGCCTTTTTGTCTGGGGTTGGCTGAGGAGCTTCAGCTTCAGGTTGTGAGTTTGGACTCTAGCATGGGTGAGGGTGTTTTAAAGCTGCAAAATTAGTCCAAGGTAGGCAGCAGACATGCTAGCGCTACAGAAACATGGTCGGTCCCATTTGCGCACCGTTCTGAGGACTGGCGTATATTTTGCAGATTTTTCAGCGGCATGATATCGCTGTCTTAGTTCACAGCGCCTACTTTGAGCTGGATGGCGCTGTGCATCTTCCATTAAGACTTCGCACCATCGCGTTTGACAGGCCTTGGGACGCGGCAGAGCTGTGCTAGAGGACATTATTCCCCTCAATAACGGAGAATCAAATGGAAAACAAGATGGAAAATTAAAATATATAGAAGCAAAGGATATGAGGGTTTTCCTGCAGCCCCAGTTGCCTCTCCTTAGCGAGTGAGGGAATTGGTCTCTGCCAGTATACTTCATGCTGGTTTTATGGCTGTGTGGGTTTAAGCTGGGGTCAAATGAGCATGTTTTGTGCCTCCGGTGAGCGCTGCGTGCCCACACCTAAAACCCTACATCAGAAAGGTTGAGCTCTAAGCCTGAATCCCTGAACCCTAGGTTCTGTATCCTACAGGTACGCTCGAACACCTCAAGCCCTGACCACGAAACGCCGCCTGCAACCCAGTACACCCTCATGGAAAGCTCATGCACCTCTGAAGCCCTAGTCGGACCACCAACCTTAACCCAGAACCCCTGCCACCCTAAAGCCTGAATCTCAAGACCAGAAGCCCAAACCCCACATCCTACAAAAGGCACACGAAAACTCCAAACCCCCAGCACTAAACCCTAAACCCCAACCCCATCAAGCTCTCCAGGCATCCGCAAGCCCGGTGCCGCTTTGGCCGCGCGAGCGCGCGGGTCTGCCTTGGAGGAGCGAAAGCCGCTTGGCTGAGAAAAAGGATGTTGAAAGGGTAATGGGTTTAGGATTTCTGGTTAAGGGTGTAGGACTTAGGGTTTAGGATTTGGGGTTCAGGTGTTATGTAGGGGACGTATTGTTGTTTGGGTGCGTAAAATGGAAAGAAAGAACAACATGTAAACTACTACGTTAACTAGCGGTTATACCGCGATAGTACCTCAATGCTGGAAAATCAAATGTAAAAGAATATTGAGGCTGAAATCGAAACAGCGGGGGATTGTGAGGGCTTACCTGTGGCCCGAATTGCCTGCACTTTGGTGGCAATTGCCCATGATTATGAGGAACTGCCCTGAGAACTGAAGGTAGCTGAGGTGACAGGTAAAGGTTGCAGTTGGGGCTGAGTTTTCACGGTTCAGGATTGACAGGTTAGGTTTTATGGTTCAGGTTTCAGGGTTCGGGGCGGGCCTACGGTTGACAGTCTAGGGCTTAAGTTTTAATGCTTACTGTTTAGAGTCTAAGTCTTAGGGTTTTAGGGGCTGCGGCCTTGGAATTCAGGTGCTAGGTTCTTGGGCTTACAGTTTAGGGTTTCGGGTTTATGATTTAGGGCTCGCAGTTTAGGGTTCCGGGTTTAGGTTAAATGTTTGGGGCTTACAGTTTAGGGTGTAGGTTCGCGGGAATGGTTAGGGTCAAGTGCCCAAAGCTCTAGACTCATGAGCCTAGAAGATTAAAGTTTTGTGAGGGATCTTGACCAGGGGGGGCCCTCTAGCTTGCGTGATGCTTGCACGAGGCCTGGCGCCAAGAAAGCAGAACCCTTCCAGGCCAGCCACCAACGTGCTACGGTTTCCAACGGGTCCGTGTACCCAATAATTCGGTACTTGGGTTTTGGGTACTAGTACTTGTAGTACGGGTTTTCGGTAGGTATATGCTTTCTAGGTGGACCCTGATGGGTTAGGAGTGTTGAGACTTTGGGGTTGAAGGCTTCAGGGTTAAGAGTTTGAGGCTTAGGGTCGCTAGACTCTGCGGGATGAGGGGGTTTCGGGGCTTCAGGGTTGTTTTGGGTACAGTTTAGTGATTCTGGTTCGGGTGTGAAGAACAGGTTGGCGCCAGTGTATTATTCAACCGGCTAAAAATGTCATAGTCAGACGAGTGGCTGGAATACCCACTCATTTCAATTCACTTGTCTAAGTGTAGGACTGCTAGCAGAGGTCTAGATACTGGCTCATCTCGTGGTGTTGGTCAGGGTTCAGGGATTAGGCGATGTAAGATTCCTAGAGCGACGCCACGTCGGGCTTGGATATAGCCCCGATGATGACCCCTAGTACTGGCAGGAACAATTTGACAGAAACATCATAAAACTAGAAGGAGGTAGCGGCACCAAAGGGTGTAACTTCGTTGTGTTGCTTCAGCTGTTGCCTGTGGAAATGTGGCAATCTAGGGTTCCGCCTTAAGGGTACTGTGTGGGCCATTTCGAGAATCTCCCAGCATTCTTCTTGCTAGCATCCATTCTGCAGAGCCGTACCTTCGATTGGTTGACCGGATGGCAGAAAAATCATGAGGTTGTTGGAGGAGAGCATCCTTGAAGACGACGAATCTTTATTACCACCTTTACTGTTATTACTACTCTTCTTGCTACTATAGTTACGCCTGTAATTCTTATTCTTACAATTAGTTTAGTGTCTTCATTGGGTACCCTTTGTACTGCCCCGCCTAGGCTGTATGAGTGCTTCACAGCAAGCCATGTGTGCACCAGAAAGAGACCACAGCCCCAAAGAACATCCATGAGTGTGTGCGCTGCAGGATTGGGTAAAGCTCCTGGGTCGCAGTGCTGGTGCAGCTTTTGGGGTATATAGGGTATATGGGGGTTATATAGGGGTTATTTTGGGGATAATATAGGGATAATGGAAAATATAATGGAAACTACTAGGGTTTATAGGGATTCCATAGGGTGTATTATGCTTATTGCGAAGATAGCTGGGATCGCCACTTCCTATTCAGAAATATCTGCTGGAGGCCATGAAAGAAAAAAACTCATGGCCTGTATTGATGACGTGAGGCTCACGCACAGTTTTGTCCATGACACTCTCAGAGAACTTCGTATTTCTTGGTTGGGCATCTCCTGAACAAGCTAAGAAGCAAACATCTTGAGCCAAACGAATTTGTGCTGCATAAAGATTTGAAGCCAGGCTCTTTCGCGCATGTCATCAACCGAAGTTGATTATGGGACCTGCAAGGAATACTCAACTTCCCGGACCCAGCGGCAGCCCCAAGTATCTCTAGCAGCTCCCTGTTTCGAGGAACCCGAACGTTAGAGGATGGCTTGGGGAATTGCCTTTGTGAAGTTGCGAATGGTTGTCTTCGACAAAGCTTTCTTCTCCTGCTGCATCCCAGACCGGTTTTCAAAATCCATCCTCCTAATATCCAGAAACCCTCTTGCCAGAATCTGTCTAATTGAGTGCCTTTACATTCGCCATGCCCAAGCGCTCAAGCTGCTTGCGTCATTCAACGTTCCACTTGTTTCTGCCATATAGATCCCACTAAGAACGAGCCCTCCCAGCCCCCCATGATAAATAGCCCCGATGTAGAGAGCAGGTCTTTCTTGAAATTTGGTTCTATTAGGGCAGGTGCGATTAATATGCACATTATTAATCTCCCCCCCAAACAGCATCTGCGAACATCGAACCCTCTGGCAGACACCTCCCCAAAAAGATTGCAAACAGATGCTTAAAAGAAATGCTGAACCGAAACCACCTTCTTGAAATACCCCATGTATTCTCATGCCAAGCATGACTCTAGACCCCTAAAGCCTGGAGCATGTGAAGTTTGCCAGCATGAGGCTGTTGGAGAGCTTTGCAGCAGCCAACAAGCTGAGCCAGGCTGCTTTCAGAGCGTTCGGATTGAGTCTAAGGACCCTCTGACTACTACGGTTGTCCTGATTTGTGGAGTCGAGGTTATCCAAACCCCTTCATGAAAACATATACCATAGGAATTTCAAAATGTCTCACAATGTTCATGCCCCCATCCTCAGAGTCCTACAGGATTTGGCAGCTGGGGCTTCAGCGTTTACAGGTAAAGGGCTTTGTACTCTGATGGGCGTACACTTCATAGGACCAGCTGTCTGAACTCCGAGGTAGAAGGTTTAGAGTGCAAGTTGCGCAGTGCCCATGAACGAGCTATGGGTTTCTGAGTTTGGGGCTTGGGTTCTGGTTGGAGACAGGTCTGGGGAGTAGATACCTCTGGCTTTCTAACCCCACAAGGTTCTGCCAACCATCCAGCAAAGCTTTCTCCATGTGTAGGTCCCATTTATTGGAATCTTGCCACTTAAGCCTCAGCATGAACCGGCCTCCACTGAAAGGCTACTAGTCATTATGGACCTGCATAGATTCCCAGAATTCCCTGAAACCTTGGTGGGATTTTCTACAACTTTACCATTTTAACCATTCCGCCCCTCCTGTTAAACATTGTTTTTTCGTGATTATTGTACTGGTGGTCTCGAAAGGAACCAAGACTCTCCTGCTTGAGCTCCTATGCCTGCGATTGATCTCGTCGGAGGCCTCCCGTGATGCGCTGGAATGCCTCGACCGACAGCAGGCGCTATGTGAGGGAGGGAGAGACTGGGTTGCCGTTGAGGGACTTAATTTAAGTTAGCATTGGGTATGTACAGCAAGGAATAGGGTTTGCCCGATATAGTCATTCAGATTAAGTTCCTTAACAGTATCTCATGCGAGTGAGGGAAGCAGTTTCCAATTTCTTTCTCTTTCCCCATAGAACCCTACACAATCCGTAGATACTCCACATATGACCCCATATAACCCCTATGTAATTTCTATATAGCCCTAGGATAATACCCAAAACTCCTATGTAACCCCAAAGCAACTGAACCTTAAACCTTAACCTTAAACCTTAAATCCATAACCCCTATGACCCTTTAGGCATTGCGCGTCATGGGCTTCACCTCGGCCCTGCGTTTCCTGGCAGGCACCGGCCTCAGAGCCCAAGGGTGATTGCAGGGGTTATATAGGGTTTATATAGGGGTTATATAGGATTATATAGGGTTATATAAGGTTATATGGGGGTTATATAGGGGTTATATAGGGTTTATATAAGTCTCGAGTTGGCCAGAATTTAGCACTGGACCCTTCCCACAGTTTGAACAGCCAGCATACATGAGCTTAAGTGCAAGCACCTTATCACATCCTTAGCGGGGTCATATAACATCCCATACTAAGGGGGGCATGGATCCCCAGAAATATCCTCATACAATCCCGGGCGGTAGTCTACCTGAGGCACCAGTGGGTCTCGCCACCTCGAATCCCGGCAGGGCCCTGAAACCCATGGAGGTAAACTTAATTTTTCCTCGAGTCCTGCTCAAACATTTAGACCTTGAAAAATCCAACATTCCCTGCGGAGACCCGGAGATGGGACCCAAAACGAATCAGAGGACCTTCGATATAGGGCCACATAGCCCTCATATAGCCCCACATGATGTCTACATGCCACATGCTGGTAAAAGACCGTACCGTGCCATATGCCCAAAACCTCGAGACCAAACTAAAGCCTAATCCCCTAACCTCGAGACCAAACTAAAGCCTAATCCCCTAAGCTTGAGATCCAAACCAAAACCTGATCCCCTAATATAACCCTAGTCCCAAATCCAAGTCTCACCACCCGAGCCCCATAACCACTAGACCCGCACTCCCTAGCCCCGAACTCCTGAGCTCACATGTACCGCGTCAACACGAGGATCTTGCCCTAAACGGTGATCCATGCAGACAGCAGTCCAAAACGACCTGTAGCCATGTGCACTCATATAGATATATGCGAATATATATATATGCATACATACATACGCATATACATGTGTGTGAGTGTGTATGCAGACATATGCATGCACATCAACGCACATTCACATACACATTTGTGTGATTCTCCATGTGCATATTTACTCGTGTACGTACATACATACATACATACATGCATACATACATACATACATACATGCATACATACATTTACCCTAAATCCTGAACGCATACATGCATATGTATATGTATATGTATATATGTGTATATGTATATGAAGATGTCTATGTATACTTGTCGATACGTGAGCTATCTCACAGCAAGGCCCGGTCTACCGCGGGGAAGCTGAGCTCGAAGTCCGAACTCGCCCCCAGCTTTAAGCGTAGGTGGGGGGGGGGGGTTAGGGTTCAGGGTTCAGGGTTCAGGGTTTAGGGTTTAGGGTGGGTGGCGGAGGGCTTTTGGATTTGACTTGGAGGGCAAGGGAACTTAAGCCTCAGTAGGTTCCGGTGGCTTAGTAAGTCTAAGGAAGTAGTCTTTTAACGCAAGCCGGGCAAATTATGATGACCCCAGCTGTCCCGTGATGAACCTAGTTACCAGAAGCCCCTGACGTTCCAAGCAGGGTTTGGGCCCAGGGTTGGGTGCCAGGGATAATTGGGCAGGACTCTGCGGGAAATACAGGGGTTACATGAGGTATGGGGCGCATAATTTTGGATGCCGTAGGGATTTTTTTGAGTTTGGGGTACGGCTATTTAGGTTCATGTAGCAGGGTCTAGTGTTCAGGGTTTAGTCTTGGGCGTAAGGATGAGGTATGAGGGTCTGTGGCGTGGCTACGCGTTGCCTATGGGTTATGTCAGGATTACGTGGGTGTAGGTTTTCCATCCAGTCCAATTGTACCCTTAGGGAATTCAGGGTTGAGGGTTTAAGAAGGCATGGGGGTACCTGGACTACGAGAACCACTTGAAGGTGATTTGGTATAACGCGGAGTACAGGGTGACCGTGACCAAGCACAGTTTCTCGAAGAACCAGAGTCCCTGCAGAATCCCGTGAATTTGCAGATGACAGGGGGCCAGGGGGTATTTGCAAGGGTGATGTTGAGAAGCTTTGAGTTTACTGTTTCGGGAGTTGTCATACGGACACCAAGAAGCAGGGCTTTTAGCTATCGCTTTACGAGTAGTTTAGCAGCCATGAAGGGATTTGAGGTTTGCATGGATGAAGCCTAGAAATGTCCCAAGCCAGAAATTCCAGAAAGTCGTCATAACTCCAATATACCCCCAGTATATACCCTATTATAATATAGTAGTTTCCATTTTCCATTATCCCTATATAACCCTAAACCCTAAATCCCAAATAGTAGCTTCCATTTTCNNCTTTTCCATTATCCCTATGTAATCTATCTCTTCTGTGCTTTCCTCCGAAATCCAAGCCTCGCATGCCTTCCGGAGCCGAGGTATATGGGCAGCACAGCATGAGGCACCAATGGAGGCTGAGTTCTTGATGGCAGGGTATGTTGGAGATAGGGCATGATATGTGGGTATTCTAGAAACTGGGCGTTGTTTTTTTGGAATAGGATTTGCGGGTCGACATTGAGGTCTCCCGTTCTTGGACATCCTGATATGGAACTGCCAGAGCATCTGCTCTGGAAGTGGTAGATTTCATATTTCAGCCTATCTCTAGGGCTTATATGGGAACCCTATGCCTGTATCCCTGCTCTCCCAATGGCAAGCAGTGGCTTGGGCCTCGGGGTGAGGCAGTGCTCCCGCGTGGGGACATCGAAGCCACGCGAGGCGGGTCCGGGCACAGGTCGAAGTCCTTTGGTTTTGGGACCTACTTGTACCAAACTATAGGCTAACATGCAACCTCATGTGAGCTATAGTCTAATCTCCTGAAAGGGGGGTATATAAGGGATTATATAGGGGACTACTATAGGGGATATTAAGGGGGATACTAGGAGTTTAGACTCTAGCTCATGTAGCCCGTTGTTTCAGCAAAGGATGTTAGTCTTTGCAGTGCTCCTTTGGAGGTTCCATTTTAGTGTTGGGCGACTCTAGAGGTCTAGCCCGTCAGCGGAGGGTGTATTGATTCATGCTGTTGGGATATAGGGGATTATATAGGGGACTATTATAGGGCTTACTAAGGGGGATACTAGGAGTTTAGATTATAACCCCTATAATTTCCCTATATCCTAGTTTCCATTTCATGTTCCATTTGCTTTTTCATTTGATTCTCCATTATTGCTATGGAAAACCCAGGCAGCCAAAAAAGTGAGAAACCCTCATCCTAAAGGAGCTTTCAGACGTGGATCGGGGCGGGGAAATTAGGGGTACCTTATTGGGGGTCCCCATAATAAGGATCATAGTATTTTGGGGTCTATATTGGGGTCCCCCTATTTTGGGAAACTACTATGTCTCGCTCAATACAGGAGCACTGCTAATACATCTCAACGTCTGAAGGGCTGCCTGTCCCCCAGGGCTGTACAGCAAGTCGATTCCACCTCTATAGTGGTGAGATTCCACAGCTGTGGGTTCCTGATTGTGAGGACACCCGACAAGGGAGCCTCAGATTTCAAAAGCCCCGTAAATCCAGAAACCAAACCTACATCTCAAATCCTAAGCCCTTCATCCCCAACCTCAATACGAGGAGGGTTTCCATAATAAGGGCCCAAAGCAAATCCCCAATATCGCATAATCCTTGTTATGGGGAGCCCCCTGAAAGGGATGCCGACGTTCTGGAAACAACACGCTCATCTTTGGCCGGAGATCCTTTTCCCCAGCCCCACTTGGTAGTTTCCCCAAATAGGGGGACCCCAATATAGACCCCCAAATACTACAATCCTTATTATGGGGACCCTTAAAATGGTTCTCCTAATTCTGGGAAACCCTGAACCCTAAACCCTAAGTGGTAGTTTCCATTTTCTTTTCCATGATCCCCAAATAAGCACATGACAGTAGCTTCCATTTTTCTAATCCCAATATATACCCTATAATCTCTATATCACCCTTATATAATCCGTATAATCAGAATCCCTATAGTTTCCATGTTCTTTCCCATTATCCTTAAATAGCCTCCATATAGCCTGCCCTGCCGCGCCCAGATGGAACCAAGCGCGATCGAAGCCGTAGCAGGCGAAGGCTGAGTGCACTATTATGGTAGATTATAGTATATGATCATAGTATACTATAGTAGATTTATAGTATATTATCATAGTATACTATAGTAGATTTATGGTAGATTATAATATATTATCATAGTATGTTATAGTATAGTTACGGTAGAATGTAGTATATGATGGTATATTATGTTATAGTATATTATCATAGTATACTATAGTAGATTTATGGTAGAATATAGTATATGCTGGTATTTATGGTGGTGGGTGCATGCAGGGTGTATATAGGTTGTATAGGGATAATGGAAAGAACATGGAAACTACTATCCTAGGGTTTAGGGTTTAGAGGTTATATAGAGGTGTTATATAGGGAGAATGAAAAAGAAAATGGAAACTACTATGATTTAGAGTTTGGAGTTTAAAGGTTGTATAAGGGTTATATAGGAGAATTGAAAAGAGCATGGAAACTGTTATTCAGGGTTTAGGGTTTAGGGTGTGGACTTCATTTTTCGGTTACAGTTGGACTGTCATGGAGAACCCTCAAAACACTGTCATCCTAATGGCGAAGGAATTGTCAGTGAGCTTTGTTTTTTCTGGCCGGCGAGTGGCTACACCTAAAATACGAAGATCCCTACTGTAAGAGGCTCCAATCTTGTCTGAGAAGCCCTGCTTGGGCGCTCAAGTTCCCATAGAGCCCAGTATCCGCTGCAACCAGAGTACCATCATGTGTGTCAAGGTATGTGCGGCAGGTGATCCCCCCCTCCCACTAACAGTAACCACAGCGGATGATGGCGGTTATCTTCAGGTCCTGTTACATTACTTTAGATTACACGCCACCATCTCATATTCCTGAGCTCATTAACATTGAGCTGCGTTGGTTCCCGCAGGGCCAGCGACTCGCTTCCCAATTTGGCCCAGCATGTCGATGCCTTCATCGAGCTCAACGACTCTTGCTCGCACTAGGATATATAGTTCCCCTTAAGTAGGTAGAATATGGGGTATATGGGGATCTTATTATAATATACATTAATATACCCAAAGCCATATTCCATCTACTTAAGGGGGACTATAGGGTTAAGGGTTTAGGGTTTAAGGCTCAAGGTTCTGGCGTGCATGCTATAGAGCTTAGGGTTTATCGAGTTTTGGATGCAGTGCGCCGACATTCAACCCCTGAAGGGGCTCAGGTACGAAAGGCTGTTCAGAAGGGTGGAACCCCTTTGAACCCTAGCCGCTGCTGACTCCCACCCAAACAAAGAAGGAGAGGAAGATCTCAGAAGTGTTGCGGGGTGCATCAGCATACGCTAATGTCAGCCACGGCAAGAGTAGAGCCAGCCCAGAAAACAAGGCCGCCCTGCTGCTTCGCGAAAACCTACACCCAAAAAAGCGATCATACGGACCTTGGAGGTAGGGCCCGCAGTTTTGAGATGCCTTGTGTGGGACCCTGAGGACTTAGACGAGCGCGCCAGCACAGTCCTCCGAAAGCTTGATGCAAAGACAGCGCCCGGCCTGGAGAACAGCTGTCAGATCTGTAGGTTTTGAACTGAGCAGTTCAGGTCTAGGGTGTTGCGGCTTGCACCCCAAGGGCTGACGAGTCGAGAGTTCAGTGTCAACTTTCTAAGAGCTTATGACTCATGACATGAAGTGCAGGTTCTGCGGGTTAGGGGCGCTGCAATTGGGACTGAAAGATGTGGAGTTGTCAAGACGCATGGCACAAGGTTGCCTACTAAGGTGCTGCGTAAATCATGCGTAGCTTCGTGAATCAGCTAAGAACTCAAGATAGAACCGGGAATCTCCTAATGAGCCGGATGGAGAACGCACTTGAGTTTCCTGCTCGCCCATTATCTCTCATGCTTGGGCGACAACTGAAACTTGGGGTTCCGGCCAGGTTGGAGCATGGTTTTTTGATCCCAGGTCCCCGCTCACCCCCGACTACCCCAGATAATATTTATAGTGGAGATTTGGGTGCCCAAGGCTCTGGATTCCTTTTCTATTCTAGCATGGCTCAGGATTTCTTCCATCCCTTGCTGTGTCTGACTACTTCCAATTTGTTAGCTGGAGCCCCAGCCCACGTACAGAAGCAACCAATCTTGTAGGAAAATGCTCCGCCTGGGATCCTGCTTAGCTGTCAAGCTTACGCCAATGTTGGAAGTACTCAAGGATCATGCAAGGCAGGGCCAAGCTCAGCTCAATAGACACCCACGGCGGCTTCTAAACGTTTTGCTTGGAAAGGAAGCCCAAAACCTAAAGAATGCCTTAAGGCTCCTCAATCGGCGAATGCCTACAGCTAACAGCCACAGCTACAAGCTGGAAGCCCCTGTCCCTGCACCCAGGCCCGTAATTACAGTTATATATGGTAGTTTCCCAAAATAAAGGGACCCCAAAATACTATAGTCCTTATTATGGGGACCCCAAAATGGTACCCCTAATTCTGGGAAACTCCCATATATTATCAGTCAGTTTCCCCAATGAGGGAAGCTTTTGGCAAGTCCAGGTGCTGCAAGTCATGGGCCTGGCAGGTGTGGAGAATTCCTTTCTCTTGCGAGGTGCCAACGTTTTGCTGGAGGGATCTTTCACGCACCATAAGCATTGTAGGAGTTGCAGTGCGTAGTTGGAATTCTCAGATCCGACTTTTGGTGGGGCTTTCGGTACCGGGCTAGGGGCCCTGAGCTAAGTTCTGAACCCAAAAAACCCACAGAGGCCTACTCTCCATGGTATCATTATTACTATTATCATCATGAGTAGTTGAATTTCTATCGTTTCTATTACATCATGATCATCACTATTGAAATTCTTCGATGAAGCAAGCCCCCAGTGTCTTTCGCGAAGCCATTCTGCATCATGTCCTTGGATGACAGGTGTCCGGGAGAAATCCAAGGCAGTTCTGCAGCGACTGCGGAAGGCGCCCGGACTGGGAAATTGGGGTTTTGGCCTGCGTGTGCTTCTTAGCATCCATCTTTCCTGAAAGTCTGTGCAAGCCTGGTAGGGTGCTAGCAGCATAGCGCCTGTGAGATTCTACACTACACGTCCTTGTGGTTGGTAGCTGCAAGCTCACGTACTGTATATGCGACCATGAAGGCAGTTCTCCAAGCCTTGGCTGAACCATACAGGAGGGTTTCCAATAATGCGGGGGCTCTTTGGGGGGGGGTTTCCCATGGGGCTAGAATATTTTCGGGCATAAAAACACAACGTTTGGAAGCCCCCGCATGTTGGAATGTAGATTCTAGTTGAACTTTTCGAACGCTATGGGTTCAATCCGAGACAGGCCAGCACCAGCCATTTCTTAGTTTGGATATTTCGCGGAAGGCCCGCCAGGACCAGAAATTCGGAAACGCATTCAAGAGGTAGAGATGCAAGGTCCTGGGACCAATTCAGCGAGATTGTGCTCTCATGCAGTGTGGGAGTTTCCCAAGGAGTTTCCCAAAGTTGGGGGTCTCTTAGAAAGACCTCTAATGAAGAGTGCCAGCCGGAAGAGTTGTCAAGGCTTTGCAGCTCACAGAGGCAAGGTACAGAATCCTGTTTTAAAGCTTTCTAAAAACCTTGCGGCGAATTACACGGCGTCACGAATGTGTAGAAAAACGCATGAACCTTAGACTCTGACGTAGGAAGCTGCTCAGACGCAAACCCTCAAACCATGATCACCGTTGACGAAGAATTCCTATATCTTGTCCATGTCTTCAATCCCTCCGATTTAGCCCCTCCTATCCTAAATCCCTAAACTCTTAGCCCCCATTTTCCATTCCCGCTATATACCCCTCATTATCGCCACAATTTGGATACAGCCCCCACTCATTGACAGTTGGACTTATAATATCGTTGCATGGAGCCCTTAATATGACTCTAATATAGATTCTTAATGGGTGGGGACAGGACCTAACCCATAACCCCCATGATGTAACCCTATATTATACCCCCACAACCATATATAACCCAATATAACCCTATATAACCCTATATAACCCAATATGCCCCCATATAACCCTATACGACCCTAAACCCTAGACTCTAAACCCTAAACCCTAGACCCTAAACCCTGAACCTCCCCAAAACAACTAGCAAGCAGCAAGCTGAGCGAACTCAGGTGCAGGAGGCCAACCATGATGCAGATCTTTTCGCACAGCTCTCCAAGGTGATGGAGGTCAGGGGGTTTAGGGTTTAGGGTTTTAGGATTTAGGGTTTAGGGTTTAGGGTTTTATGGTTTAGGGTTTAGGATTTAGGGTTTGGGGTTTAGGGTTTAAGATTTATCCAAGTACTCAATTATCATAAGCTTGCCCAAAACTTGTACTAGAATTGCTGTTGCCCAAATCCCAAGTACCTAATGATTGGGTACTTGGACCCTTAACGGTTTAGGGTAAGTTACTGGAGGTCAGATGCCAGGGCGTGGCCTTCAGAGTTTTGTCTTCGGGTTGTGGCTAAAGGTTGGGTACTGCCCCCCTCGGCAACAGTTGGATAATAGTTATAATATGGTTATATATAGGCTTTAATAGGACCCCTAATATANNGGGGGGGGCAGTACCCAAGCTAAGGGTTGTTAAGCAGATCAAGGTATTCGCTTCTCAAAGCTGTCTTGCTACACCCACCCCAAATGTGGGATCTGTAGTATTAACCATAGGTACGACCCAACCTGAAGGCGTTCCGTATTCCTATTATGAGAACGGCGTTTAGCCCACAGTTTTGAGCAACTTCCAGACAGTCCAGGACTTCATTACAGCGAACCACTTGGATGATGCTGCAGCGGAGTCCTTCCGAGGCTCAATATAGACAGAAGGATTCGGGCAGCTATTCTTGGTGGTTAACGTGGAACCCCCCTTTACCTGGACCTCCAAGTCTATCTATAAATCATCCTTATTCGGGCCTTTAAGTTTTTCAACAGTACTTGCCTTGAGCGTTCTGGATCGCTAGGGTGTACATACGGGGTTCCATGTGAGCTATAGTCCAAACTCCTTCAAGAAAGGCTATGTAGGGGAATATATAGGGGACTACTATATATCATAGGGGTTATTCAGGGGATGCTAGGAGTTTAGACTACAGCTCATGTTAGTTTGAGGGCGAGCATGCCTTCAGGACCAGTTCAAGAAGGCTTCGTCTTGGTCAGGCTTTAGTGCTTTCAGATAGGCTTTAAGTCTTTCTTCATGCAATACCGACATTGGGCTCTAAAGTCCATAAATAGTACCTACATTGAGCTTCTCGCTTGAAGGCTCAGGGCTTACAGCCGCTGGTGTCGACCGTCGATCTTCCGTCCCCAGTGTTTTTTTGTGAGTACGTTTATTGATGCGAGCGAGACGGGTCCCAATGGATACGGGGATCCTGTTTCTGCATCTGTGTGACAATCTTCTTATGTCCCCATTCGGGCCAAAATCTACTAATACCTAGCAATGGCTTATGATTGCTATAGTCCCCCTTAAGTCCATACCCAAAGCCATATTCTATCTACTTAAGGGGGACCGCAGATACTCAAACGGGGCGTCAATGACATCCTTGCTTAGAGCTTTACTGTTCAATCCCTATTTGAGATCCTGGAAGCAAGTCAACTGTCCCAATTCACCAAATTGAATGCAAAGGCCCAGTCCCAGTTTCATGCCCCGAGTGCATATGGTTACTGCGAGAGCTCTACCTGCCTGACCCTTCAGTTTGTCACAGAGAAAGAGAAAGAAGGTACCACGCTGAAAGGTCTCGGTTCCTACACGACTGCGATTTCCTTTTCATTTTCCATGTTCTTCTCCATTTGATTCTCCATTATTCCCGTATATACCCCCCTTAATCCCCTCTAAGGGATCTACTTGTTTTAGGGCCCAAGCTCATACAGTCTTCCCTCAAGCGTTCAGCGCAGTTTAGTTGACTTTGCCTGACAGGTCTGCCCCGCGGGGTAGCGCTGGAGGCGGCCCGTGCAACAATGTGGAAACGTCGCAGTGCCACACTTCTAGTCGCACTGCGGCTTAGTGGGGATAAAGGAATATATTCTATAGGGATTATATTCCCCGATTTCCTGCTATAAGGAAATATGACATATCACATATAGGGGTTTAATAGGGATTATATTCCCCTATTCCCTGCCTGCCAAGCCCCAGTAAGTTCAGTAGGGTCTCTTGTCTAGGGCTGAGAGGGAGACATCCTGCACAGATGCCACAGATTGTCCCAAGCGGTTGCGCCATTCAGTGGGTCGGTATTCATACCCTCGGGCTCCACAGTCTGTAAAGATTGCCTACCTTGGGCCTAAAAAATCCACGGCTACTGGGATCCCTATACATCCCTATAAACTTCTGGTTTCCATTTCATTTTCTATTTGCTTATCCAATTGATTCTCCATTATTAGGGTCAGACCCCAAGCTGTAAATCCTTGAGCCCTAAACTTTGAACCTAATAGCACCTACATTGGGCTATTTGGAGCCTCAGGGATACATAGTCCCCCTTGAGTAGATAGAACATGGCTTCGGGTATAATATAATAAGATCCCCATATACCCCATATTCTATCTACTTAAGGGGGACTATATCTCCAACCCCAAGCCCTAACGCCCAAATAGTAGTTTCCATTTCTTTTTCCATTATCCCTAATATATATAATCCCTATATACTATCGGAGTTCTATAATGGAAGGATTAGAAAGTCCGAGGTTCCCCCGGGGGTCCGGGCAGGCTGGTAAGATCAAGCAACCCTCAGGCTCCAAACAGCCCAATGCCAATGTAGCTATTATTGACAGATTTTGTGCCCAACTGCCCAATGTAGATATCATGTTTTTTCTGACTTTGGAGCGTTATTTCATAGATTTAGAGCACCAGGGTAAGATTTGCTGTGCGCCAGGACGTTCAGGCACTGCCGGAAGCCCTAAGCAATGCGCTAAAGCTGAAGATGCAAATCCCGGGGGTCTGTTAACCAAGCCCCTCCCTCTAGGAAGATATCAGCAGAACATCGACATATAGTCCCCCTTAAGTAGATAGAACATGGGGTATATGGGGATCTTATTAATCATAGTATACCCAAAGCCATATTCTATCTACTTAAGGGGGACACTAATTAAGGAGGATTCCATGCATTTGAGGGTGCTGATAGTTACGAGGCAGACAGACACATGAATCAAGCCCGGAAAGCTAGAGCAATTTCCAAGCCCCTTCACGGCACGAGGGACTTTGCTCCACAAGCTGGCAAGGATTTACAGTAGTAGTCAAGTTGTTTTTCGATTCTGTCATTCTCAGGCATCATTCAGGACCCCTACCAGATCTTCAATTGAGAGTTGAGTCGTTGCTGAACCTACTGCGCCAGTATCTACCAGAGCTGAAACATCCCCATCTGCAAGGGTTGATGTAGGGGCTTCTGGAATTCAAATTACGGTTTTGGAGTACATAGTGCTAAAGTTATACAAGGATGTTAACGGAGCACCATTGGTAATTACTCATGGTAAGGCCCTACATTGCAGCATCAAAGCAGCCACAGAAGCCAGTTGCCAGCAACAAGTCACTGGGCTTTGCATTTCCCGTACGACATTCAAGGAGAGGGCAACTGAGGATAACCTGGGACTTAGGTTGCATGTATTCGGGTTCAGGTTTGAAGCATAAGCCGGAGTAGTTGCCTTAGATAGCTAAACTGCCAGAATACTTAAACACATCATATTGCTGCGCAGAATTAAAGTATAGCCCACCTGTAAATCCCATTTGAGTCATTTCGGCCAGGCACCGGAAAATTCCTAGAGCCATTAAGGGTGTACACATGGATACTACACATCCTGCATGACCATGCGCGCCTTACACCTTGCAGTTTTGGTATGCTGGTACACTTAGGTCAGAGGTCATGCAGGATTTGGTTATACCAGCCCTAGGCGTTCAAGTATACATGTAATACCTACATCAGGCCCTAAAGTTTGTAAATATCACCAACATGGGGCTCTTTGGATCCTTAGAGCAACAGTAAGGACCCCCAGACCCGCTACGCAAATCCAGCCTCGCAGTACTGCACCGTCCTTTGCAGGTCATGGGCTTCACTGCCTTGCTCTGAGTTTATTTTTATAGGGATGTGTATATATATACATAGAGAGAAAGAGAGAGGGAGGGATAAACTATATATTACATACATATGCATATTTATACTATATGTATATATGTATTTTGAAATATATACAGTCATGCGTAGGGACATGTGCGTATATGTACGGATGTAGGGACATGTGGGGGCTATCAGGATTTGTAGGGTAGCGGCTACAGAATTTGGGTGGCCGCAAACGGGGTACCCCTTGGACCCTAGGCCTTTGTAGGGATTACACAGGGGGGCCCCTGTTAAGTTCTGTAGAGGTTTCCATGTGTCGTAAGTATGTTGTCCGGATGTTGCGTGAAGGTGCGTGTGTTTTGATATCCTTCCCGTAGTACGAGTGGAAATCCTGCATGTGCTTGGGAATGCTATTCAATTGCGCGGGCTTTAGGTCCCTAGACATCAACTTGGCCTTCAAAGATCAAGATCTCTTGAGCTGAAGGTTCCGTGACTTCATGTTGCCAGCCCACCTGTGATGGTTTCGTCTAAAAACATGAGGTCCGTAGCACATGCAAACAAATTGTCACATGTGGAAGCATCTCATACCATCCATATGCGCGCCTCCATCAAGGGATCTGTATGCGATTCTCTTGGACATTCTAGGACTTCTTGACTTATCGCTTCGGGACTTCCCTGTGCGGGGGAACCTTAGCCAAGGACTTAAGGACTAAAATAGCCGGTGGTCCATATTGGAGGCCTCTCTTCATGGGATCCTCTACATGTTGAGGCTCCCAAAGAAGTTTTTGCACGTCGTGAATCGACGCGAGGTCCTGAAAAACTCCCGCCCCAATTTGTTCAAAGAGCAAACTCCCATAACTTGGCAACAATGCCTTTCATTACCCTGAAGAGAGGATGTTGAAAAGCGAGAACCCACCCCGCCCGGGTGGCACACCGGCTTAGGCTTCAGAGGGCGGCAGCAACACCTTCCTTATCAAGGAGGTACTTTTGGAAAGCTCTCTCATGAGTTTTGGGTCTGGGGGCTTGGGGCTGAGCTTTGAGGAGAGAGGATTGAGGCTTCGGGGTTGATGCGCTCCACATATTATGGTCTAGTGTAGCAGGGTATAGTACAGTATGTAGTACATTATACTATACTATAGCTTGTCTAGTTTCAGCTTCCACGGCTTGTGCTTCGGGCTCACGGCTGCTTCCTTGTAGGGAACCAGAGAACAGGACAATTGAAGTCAACGTTTGCTGTTGATGGGGGTTATATAGGGATTATCTAGGGACTATATTGGGGATTATATGGGGATGGAAAAGGGATTAACCAGAATGGTAGATTCTTTTCCTATCATCTGCTCCTTCTGTTGGCAAGCCACCACTTTATGCATCTCATGGGGCAGTTCGTTCCCTAAGGGTCCAAATACCTAAACAGTATGTAACTAGGGCTCAAAGTACCTATTCAGGAACCCACTTGTGTCCAATTTATCTATTTTTGAGTACTTGGATCCTTAGGGATTGTCTTTTTACTGGCTCATTGCGCTATAGTAAGGTCATGTAGGACATTTCGTATCAACAGCAGGAACCATGCGCCATGGGCTACAGGGACGCATATACGGGATTATGCAAGTAGTACTTTTGGGATCGCTTCTGCCATTTCTACTTCACACGAGTAAGTATTAGGGTGGAGTTGTTCTGGCATGGTGCAATGAAAGGATAGACGGCCCTGTAGTTTTCTTGCAGATGGGGGGTTAACTTAAGGCTCGAATTCATACCCATTGTAACCTGGGAAGTGCCCCTTCAAGCGTCTGAAGTGGCATTGCTTTTGGAAAGTAACCTTGGCCGCACGCATTTCAATTGGCCTTTACTGTGCGAGCCTCAACCCTGAGCCCTAAACTAAGCCATGGGTCGCCTTGGCTCAGCACATTGAAGCCCTGGAAAGCCTGTACACTTAATACGGCAGTGTCAGATGCTACTACTGTTTCTCGAGTATTACTAGTATTACTGCTATTACTATTATTATTACTACTACTAGTATTATTATTGTGATCATTACTATTATTACTATTGCTATTAGTTATGTGTCTGCTTCTTGACAACCACTGTGATCTCAGTTTGCAACTTCCATGCGCACTGCGGGTGGAACCCTAAACCCTAAACCCTAAGCAGCAGCGAGAGCCTGGCCAAAGCAGCCTCTCATCTGCCAGCCCGAAGTAAACTTACTGGTCCCTAAGGGAGAGGGGGGAGTGGATCCTTATAATACCCTATTCAGCAGGGTTTAGGGTTTTAGGGTTTAGGTTTTTAGGGTTTAGGTTTTTGGGGCTTAGGGTTTAGGGTACTATATAATCCTCATATATAGCCCTATAATGGTCCCTATATTCACTCTCCCATTCCGAGTAAGTAAAGTAAGGACATTATTCAGGCGTTATGGCATCCCACACCTTAAACTTTCTGACCTGAGCCAAATCCCCTGAAACCCTGTACCCTACACCCTAAACCGGAAAGTCTAAACCCCCGAACCCTATATTCTAGGGTTTTCACCAACAAAACCTGTAATCTTACACCCTGAGCTACCCCCCCTGAACCATATACTCTACGCACAAACCCTGAACGCCAACCACGACAATCCCCATACGCATAGCTTCCCTAAATAAAAGGACCCGAGTATATACCACAAATTCTTATAGTCCTTACTATTGGGACCCTTAAAGAGGTACCTCTAATTCTAGGAATTACCCATATCCAGTCCCGTGCACGGAGGCCGCTGACGCTTCGGAGGAGGTCCGCCGGCGCATCGACGAGCGCGGCTCGAAGCGAGATGCGAACGGCGAACCGAAAAACTCATAGCGCAGGGCTTCTGGGTATGTTACAGTATTGCTATACTACTACACTACGATATTGCTATGCAACTATTCTACTATATTACTAGATTACTATATTACTAGGGCTTCTGGGGCTCTAGGGTTTAGGGTTAGCCGGAGGTCCACTACTCACTCTGATACAGCCGTATCATACTTATGGTGAACCCAGAATCTGGTTCAGGGTGTTGGGTGGCTTTAGGGCCTTTCGCCAAGGAGTAAATAGCATGTCCGCCATAGTACAGCATGTTCATCAAGAAGCTACGGTGCTGAAGCGTGTACTGCTATATTACTATACCACTATATTGCTATACTACTATACTGCTTTCATAGTATGTTACTATATTACTATACAAACACAACATTACATTACTGTTTTATGCCGGAATTGAGCTACAAGGCTGACGCTGCAACCCAGACAGGACAAACCGGGTACAGCATGGCAAGACTTCACATGACAGCCCCAAGATTTGCACATCAGACTCTGCTTTGTTGTGTTCTGGGTTTACGGTTTTAGGGTTTTAGAGTTTGAGAGTTTCAGGGTCTAAGGGTATTAGGGTTTAGGGAATCACCACCAAACAGAGTGAACTGCAAACGGGCATCACGAGTCCTCAGCCAATACCTTGAAACTTTGCACTCGGCGAGGACAGCTCCAAGATAGCATCCGTGGGCCACGATGGACATCTGCGCCGGGCCTGGGTGAAAGCTACTTGGAGATCGGTGCTTCTTTAGCCTCACTTCATTACTGGTTACTGGCTCTTAGCAGGGAATGTGGGAATAGAATAATATAAGGGTGATATACCCTTATTCCGCACTAAGAAACAGCAAGTTTCACAACTTTCAGAAAGTTGTACAGCCTTTCCAAGGCTTGGTGACGTTCATGGCTTGGGATCAAATAGTGGGCCAAGGAGGCAAATGCACCGCTCTTTTAGGCGCCATATTAGAACCCAGCCCAGTGTTTCTGGTGATGTTGGTTGACAAGCCGATGGTTGTAGGTTATATGCGCCTGCAGCTCATAGAGTTGCAACCGGATATTTTAGGAAGATCTCGGGGCTTCAGAGTGTGTTAAGACGCTTGGGATTCAAAAGCTTCTTCAGCAAGTGCAGGTCCATCTTGCTTTGAAAGTTGCACAGAACACCAGCATGTGTCACAAGCATCTTGTGAAGGTAGTGATTGTTTGCTGCTTCTAGGTAGACGGCTGCAGCAGACTTACTTGCGACTGGCAGCTTGGATATGGAGATGTCTTCACCGGGCCAGTGGACGTTCGAATGCACGAAGTGCTCACCTCTCTAACGCCATGAGAAGGTCCCAGCCATCACCAAGTGCCCTACGTAGACCTTGGATTAAAGAGATGCTTAGGCAACCTGAAAACCTACACCCCTCAACCCTAAGCACAAAGCCTGAGGCTTCAGCATGCCTCAGCCAAGGCACAAGACCCGCTCTTTCCTTGGGGCTCCAAGTCCATAAATATCATAATCCATTATCATCCCTATAACCCCTACATAATCCCATAATAATCCCAAGTCCATAAATATGGCCCACATTGAAATTGGGCCCAAAAGTCTATACATAATACCTACATGGAGCCAAGGCCTAAATCCTCGTTTCCATTTTCTTGTCCACTCCCCTCGCGAGTCCTATAATCCCGATATAATCCCTAGATAATCCTTATAGAATCCATGTAAGACCCCCAAATAACCGTAGGCCCTACACCCTAAAACCCTAAATCGTGGTTTCCATATAATCCCTATAACCCCTACATGATCCACAATAATCCCTGTGGTTTCCATGTTCCACTGCCAGCCCATCCGCCTGCAGACATCTCCGGTTCAAGCCTGGCTCAGATTGTCTTGTCACATGGCCAGCCTGTGCGAGCTAGGGCCCAAGCCTGTAAATCCGGTTAAGGTAATATTGGGGTAATATCGGGATAATATAGGGTAATATAGGGATAATGGAAAATAAATGGAACCTACCATCTATAGGGTTTGGGGTTTAGGGTGTGGGGTTCGGGGTTTAGAATTCAGGGCTTAGAGTTTGGGGTTTAGGATTTTGGGTTTGCGGTTTGGGATTTAGGGTTTGCGGGTTAGGGTTGAGGGTCTGTCTCCAACCACAGCCACCTGCAGTTTTATGGTTTACAACGGAGAAACAAATGGAAATGAATTCTGAAAATTGAATCGCAACTGGGATTATGTAGTATAGCTTATGAAGACAGTTTGATGGGCGATGCCTACTAACTAAGTGGGTGGTTCCTACGACCGCACCCTTCTGGGGGAGTTCCTATACTCGCCATTGTATCCGAAAAACCTACACACCCCCATAGAAACCTTTTAACCCCCCTTAAAGGGACCATAATGTTGGTGAGTCAAGAAGCTTCATATGTTACTTTGGCTAGTCCAGGCCCAGGTAACCTGCAGGGCTCGGAAGCCCCCGGATTGAGGGTTTAGGGTTTGGGGTTTAGGGTTTAGGGGTTTAGGGTTGAGGCTTGAGGGTTTAGGGTTGAGGGTTTAAGCTTCATGTTGGGATTGTAGGGATTTCCTTGAGCATGACGTAGGGCCTCTTTTTGGATTGCGCTACCTTGAAGCAGTCTTGTCTTCTGGGGGTTGCGCGAAGAGACTCCTTTCTTTCTAATAAACTCCTCTGCCTAAATAATGATGAAAACCTGGTAAAACAGAAGTGAAGATGCCCTGGAATTTTTTTTAACGAAAGAAGATCGAGGCGGTGATATGTGTATGTGCGTATATGTCAGAGGGTTCTACGAGAGACACCAGTATCATCGCTGGAGCGTTCCCAATTCATCCTCTGATATCCCTGCATATGCCCCAGAGCCCGTAGAACTTTAATTTTCCTGGAAGTGCTCAGAATCATGGTTTCAGGCTTCTACGGGAGGCTTCTTTGTGGGCTGATTTTGTCAGTGTGTACTAAGACCTGAGAACTCTACTCTTGAGCATTGTAATATCCAGGGTCTCGCATGTATGGGTACCATATGTTTTTCCGCTGATTTTATAGCATCGTACGGCGTGTACGGATGTTCTCAACATGTTTATGGAGGGTCCCACAGTTGGAGTCAACTGACCTCAGGGGATGGTAAGGCAATTCATAGTCGTGTGCCCAGCATCAAGCCCCCAGACCTTATGCCTGCACGACTAAACTAACTCAAGTCTGCATCCTGGCCTCAGGATAGCAGCAAGCCATTGTCTTGATGAAAGAGGCGTATATTGGCGTATATATACTGGCTTCCTGAAAATGACGTTTCTCTCATCCTGAAGGGACCCCTATCCTCCCTGACGAGTCCCTAAGTCCGGTGTGTGCACACTTGAGTACCCACATTTTGAGAAGCCCGTGCATTTGCCCTTGCAGATCAGAGGCCTCTACCTGGAGCACAGAACATGAAAAGTGGGTTATCACAAATAAGTTGGGGCCCAGAACGACAGGCTCATGGTTAAAGCCCTCAAAACGCCTGAAACCCGGTCTCGGCAATGCGTATGTTCAAGAACTCCAGCGTCAGACTTTACGTCAAACCTGCAAACTCATTACAACGCACGCCCCACTCATACTGCATACTTCTTGATGCATTCTTGTCACCACCCAGGTTGCCACGATGGAGGGAGGGCACACGATGAGGGCTGCGATGGAGGAGGAAAGGAACAAGATGAAGGCGGGTGATTCAATGACTTAGCGAGCACGGACTGGACATTGCTGATTATGCAATTATTCAAGACAAGACACCGATGGGCTGCTGATCAAGTTTAGGCTTTGTGTTTTTTGGGCCAGGCGTACATGTGTTCGAAAAAAATCTTTACGTGGCGCATGCCAGCTGTTCAGCTGTTCCTGCCTTTCAGCTTCAACCTCTGGATCGGTCGCCAGACTCCATTACTTGGGAGTAATGTCCCTATGTCTCCCCATATAACCTATATATATGAATAGAGATAGATATAGATATGTATGAGGGCATGTATATATGTATATATATTTCTACATAATACCTCCCTCTCTCTCTCTCTCTTTCTCTATCTCTCTCTCTCTCTCTCTCTCTCTTGAAAGGGACGTACAAACCACTAGATCTGTGACCAGAAACGTTGCTGGAACTGTGCTGCAGAACTGCCACCCTGGGAATCTGCTTTAAGAAGAAGTAGTAGCGCGAAGAGTATCAATGCTCATTTCTTGTCCTTGTATGTCCCCATATACCCACAACAAGGCGTCCTTTCTGTAGAGCGGTCCCTCTTTGACTACAACATGGACAGATTTTCTGCTGTTAACAAAGATGCTTAAACCCCAATGTGGTAGTTTTCCAAATAGGGGTACGCCAATATAGACCCAAACATACTATAGTCCTTATTAGAGGAAGCCCAGATAAATGGTACCCCTGATTATGGGAAACCGCAATGTCTCTTGCTCTGGCTCGGTGACCTCCACGCCTTGACCTAGCGCAGGGTATATTGATGCTGAGCATCCTGTAGACCCTTTGTATGCTAGAATACCGTGTGTACTGTAGTCTAAACTCCTTAACGGGGTTATATAGGGAATTATATAGGGGATTACTATGGGGGTTACTAGGGAGGATACTAGGAGTTTAGACTATAGCTTATATACTTGTACTCCAAGGGTCATGTAGGATTTTGTGAGTGTCAACCATGCAAAGAGTTGTCCCTACCTCTGAGCACCTCTGATGCTTGTCTCCCTTCCCAAGAATGTCCCTTTGAACCTTCAGGCGATCAAGCAGGAAAAGAGCGTGGTTGCGCTTCCTGTGGAAACTCCTGGGACCGCGGAGTGGCTGGGCTTAAAGGATTCAGAATCTAATCATGATATGTTCATCATTCATACAAGATGGTCAACATGGGAATTTCTGAAAAAGAGCCCAAGACCCAGAGAATCCCAGAGGAACCCCCATAATCCTCTTTGCAATCACTGTGTAGCCCTGAGCTCCTCAGGGGCCCCTAGTTTGAGAACCCTCCATTGCTTTGGGTTTAAGGT